TGAAGGCAGATCTGATTAAACTGAGGAGCTGGCTTGGAGCTCAGGGAATCTCACCTTCACCTGTGCAAAACCAAGCAGGGATCTCACTGCCCCAGCGTGTGGAGATGCCCTCAGAGCCCAGCACTGGATTCCCATAGGGATTGGGTTAGTGGGGGGAGAGTGGCTGAGGTGGTGGATAACAAACCCAGACTGGGAAGTTCATGAGTTGCCAATTGGAAGGATCACTCTGTAGTTGCTCTCCCTTCCTTTGGGAGGTGGAAGTCAGTGGCAGGTGGGTGTAGGACAGGGAATGGAGTCGGCACATCCCTGCAGGGTCACGCCGGTGCTCTTAGGTCCATTCCCAGGATTCCTCTCCAGCGCCCTTTACTCCTCTTGCTCCTCACTTTGACACCCTCTAAATGATCTCAGAGTGTTGTTAAAGCCCCCAACCCCTTCTCTGTGCCACGTGTTCCATGAGTAGATTGATGAAGTAACAACTGGAGCATCCCATAAGCCCCTCACATAATCTCGGTGTCTCATCCTTCCTGTGTTCCCACCTGTTGTCTGTCCCCCCTCGCTGGGAGTCTGCCTTAGATTATCAGATCTCCTCATCTGAAAAGCCTCCACTTGGCTGCAGAGAGTCTGTATAAATAATCATATCTTTCTTTTTTTTCTTTTTTCATGGAGACTTTAAGAACAAACCAAAACACGACTCCCTGCCCCCTGAAAAAACTCGGAGTGTGCAAGGACAGACGGTCTCCTGGCTTTTTTTTTTCCTGGAGCTGGGATTGATATGTAATTTTAATAGAACACTAGTACAGCCTTGGCATTATTTTAGGAGCAGTTTTAAATTACCCTACATGGATTCCTTTTTCCTGGTGGGATTTTTCAGGATATAAGCAAATAAAGTAATCTTTGGAAGAGATGCTGCGCTCCCGCTCGTAAAAAATCTCGGTACATCATGAAGGAAATGAGCAGTTTTGGCAGAGGGCAAAGAGCCAGGAGAGCTGAAGCTACTGCAGGAGGGGGAGAGATGTGAGGCAGATGCTGTGGAGAAAGTGTGTGTGGGGAAATCATGGGATGATTCCTCTTTCTTGCATCATGGGAGGCTTAAAAACCGGCGTGGCCGGTGTTAAAATAAGAGGAAACTTGTGAGGTTTGATGGCTCTGCTCGTTGAGGCAACACAGTGGGAGATGACCTGGTGGAGGCTGGATCAGTGTGGGAGATCCAGCAGGGAAGAAAATGGATCCTGGATCAAATTTATCAATGTTAATAGAAAGCTCCCCTCCTGTCTGAACTGTGTTTGCCTTGTGGTGCACTCAAAAAGGAAGGAGATCTTGGAATCATCAAGGTTGGAAAGACCTTCGAGGTCATCAAGTCCAACCATCAACCCGACACCACCACAGTGTCCACCACTGAGTCATGTCCCCAACGGCCACATCCATGTGTTTTTTGGACATTTCCAGGGATGGGGACTCCACCCCTGCCCTGGGCAGCTGTGCCAGGGCTGGACAACCCTTTCCAGGAAGGAATTTTCCACACTATTCCTGATAATATTCCTTTGCTCTGCCGTTGCTGCTGCTCCTGCACCATCCACGTTCTGGTGGATCATTGGAGATCACTGCATGACATTCCTTCACTGGGGTTAAATTTCTTAAAAAGTCAGCTTGTTTCCATCATTGTTGAAAAGGAAACAAAGGTCTCAGGTTGTTTTTTGTGATCTCACGCTCCCGAATATCCTCAGGGAGCTCCATGTCCCAGTTGGTGCTCTTGTCCAAACTCTGATGAAGGTTCTGCTTCTGGAATGAGCAGAACTCCTGAAAACACGCAGGAGTGAGCTCTGACAGAAATCCAGGAGCAACTCCCACCCTATGGTGAGCCTGTGGAAAACCAGGAACCTCCAAGAGACAGAGGCGAACCTGGAAACGAATATTTACAACTTCAGTGGCTGTGAAAGGAATAATCTATGGGGAAAAAAAGTAGTTTTATGGCTTGATAGTCTTAGACTGATGTGAGGCACCTGAATCCTGAGCAGTCCTACTGGATTTACCTTGGGAATTGTCTGCTTTTACTGGAGACCTGGAGCTGGGCATGTTTGCTTGGAAGCTGGTGTAGTTTTTTTAGCAGATGGTGTCTCTGTTTACAAACCTGCTCTTGTCTGGACTTGGATGAGTGTTCAGAAGAATTCCCAAAGTAGTTTTCCTACTTGTTGGCCAAATAATGGGTGAACTGCTAATTTTCCATCCTGATGAGTCCAAAAATCCACTTTGTTCTCTCGTGGGTCTTCACTGAGTCACCTCATGCCCAGGGCTGAGAAGGGCTGGAGTGGTGGACTCTTCCTAGTCCAGGGAACTACAGGTTTACCAAGTGGGAATTTTTTCAACTATGAGTCCCAGCTTGATGGGATAATACAGAAAGAGGGTTTAGAGAAGGAAATACAGCCCTTTTTTATCCCAGGTATATAAAAATACCTTTTTCTACCAGGCAGGAGAAGGGAACCAGTGGAAGATGCATCTAAAGATCTAAAAGGAAGTTTTCTAGGTGTTTACATAAATATAAATAATTATTTATAGGTAAAGCCCATGTTGAAAAGTTCTTTCTCACTGTGATATCAAGGAATTAAAACCTAACTGTAATTTATTTGGTGTTGGGAAGGGCATTTAATTCCTCCACTGACTTTTAAGATGAGAATCCATGTGACCATCTGGTAGAAAGTTGGATCCATGAAAACTGCAGGATTTTGTGGCTTCCATGCCACAGTTTTAACTCCTGTTGCTTTTTACTCCTCTCCAGTGGCAGGGAGGGAAATCCTTGTATTTGCTGCGTGACTCTTGGCATCCCATGTGAAATGAGCCACTAAACAACTTTTTTTCCATGGAATGGGAGGTTGGGTGAGGAGTGATGGTGTTTGTGTGCAGTTTGGTTTTATGGGAAAACTGTTGTCCTGATTTTTTGATGGGCTTTGTCTTTTCTCCCCAATATTCCTGCAGAACCAAGTGACGGACACCAACCGGAAGCTGCAGAACGAGGGGAAAGAAGTAAGTGATCCATTCATGGAATCATGGAATGGTTGGGGTTGGAAGGGACCACAAAGACCATCTCCACTGTCCCAGGTTGCTCCAAGCCCACTCCAACCTGGCCTTGAATCCTTGTTTCACTCAGGTTTTTCTGTTGGAGGCTGAGCCTTTAAAAATCCCTGTTATTTCGGGAAGAATCCCCTTGGGAACGAGCAGCCACATCCTGGCTTTGAGAACCCAAAAAGAGCCACTTGGAGAGGGGAGCAGGGAAGAGATGACTAAAATGGGAAGGGGGAAACAATTCTATTGGAATTCCCAGGACGTGCTCCCAGGCTGGTGTGCCGATGGCTTTGGTTTTGCTGCTTCCTGAGTTAAAATTCAGGGAACGTTTCTGCTGGAAGAACCCGGAGCTGCCTGTGCTCCCTCTTCCAGCAGCTCCCTGGTTATCAGAACAGGCTTTGTGGTCACCCCACAGTTTGGGTGGTCATGACAAGTGTTTATGGTGTTCAATGGGATTTTTTTTCCCCTTCCCAAAGCTGATAATTGCCATGGAAGAGCTGAAGCAGTGCCGGTTGCAGCAGAGGAACATTTCGGCGACGGTCGATAAACTCACGCTGTGTCTTCCCGGTGAGGAATCTCCAGTTGCTCCTGCCTTGTGTTTGTTTGAATTCCCAAGCTCTTTGCTTTGTGCTCAAGGCTTCTGTTGTTTCCCTTCTCTTTCCAGTGCTGGAGATGTACAGCAAACTGCGGGAGCAGATGAAATCCAAGAGGTAAATTTTGTGTCGGTTTACGGGTGTTTTATTATTATCCAAACAGTTGTTTTGGGGCTGAGTAAATTCAAGAGGTTCCCAGAGCTTCCAAAATCAACCTTTCCAGGTTAACTCCTCTGATTTTTTGGCTGGTTCTTCTCACAGTCCTGCTCATTCCCTCCAGGAATTGGGATGGCAGCAGGCTCGGATTTTGTTTTGTGTTAGGTTTTGGAATGAAGTGGATATTCCTTGTTTTTTTGTGGAAGCTCCCTGTTGTTGTGCATGCAATCAATGCATGTTATCAACTAAATTTTATTCTGTGAATGCCATGGTGTGTAATCTAATATATGACAGTTCTAATATAACCTGAGAGATTCCAATGAACATGGGTGGAAGCCAAACACCTGGAAACATCAGGACGGTGGAAGTTGGGGAGAAATCTTATTTTGCAGTAGAAATAACTCTTCAGGAGAGTGAACTGAGCTCCAGGGGCTTGGTGTCTCTGAAACCATGAGCTGTAAATCCAGGATTTTCCCCACCCTGCATCTGTTGCATGAAGGATTAAACCACGGCCTGGGATGTTTGCTGGAATCCTGGGGGATGGTTTGTTTAAGCGGCACGGAGCGACTCGGGAGCCCTGGGGGTGGCAAATTGGGCAAAGAGCAGCTGCTGGAAGGAGGGAGGCTGGAAACGTGGCTCCAGCTGGATGCCAGGCAGGGAGAGCAGTGGGATCCCTGGCTGGTGCCTGCCATCCATCATGGGAACAGCACAGAAGGAGCCAGATGTTTGGAACAAGGCGATAACTAATGGGATGAGGGGGTTGTTTTTACACCTCCCCTCCCGCCTCTGCTTTCCCCCCGGGGTCCTTGGGCAAACAGATCAGGGGAACTCATGGAAGTTGGGCTGGTTGGAGGAGCTTTAGGAGCTCCCAGAGCTGTTCCCCAAGCTCCTCTCTGTGCCCCAGGATGGCTCAGGGCAGAGCAGGGCAGGGGGGAGTTTGGCCAAGTGTTTTTAGTGTGTTTATAGGAACAGAGAGGGGCTTCTCCGCTGACAGACGTGGGGTGGGAGCTGGAGCTGAGCACAACCCTGGGAACTCCTGCAGGGAATCCACATGCTGCCCCATTCCTTGCTCTGGAGAGCGTTTCCAAAATCTGCTTCTAAGAATTCCATCTTTTTTTTTTTTTTTTTGGTGTTGGTTCATTTTGAAACAAATAGAAGCTGAAAGCCACATTTAAGGAATATCTGAACCCTGGGCTGTTTTTTCCCCCCCCTTCTTTCTTTGTCTGGATTTGGTGGCTTCATCCACCAAATGCAGCACAGCATGTGAAGTATTTTTATTTCTGCACCCAGTGTCACTTATAAATCACTTCAGGATGGGCACCAAGGGGGTGGGTTTTGGGTGCACAGTCTTGGAGGACTCATAGGGTTTGTATTTGGGGTTAATAAACCCTCCCAAGTTTCATTCTCCCAGGGCAAACAGAATGAGTTGGGTGATGTTTTTAACCCAAAACCTGTGGCCACGAGCTGGAGGTGGAGAATGAAGAAT